ACCTTTATTATTTGGTAGACCAGTTCCCAAGCATACAGGACATACAAGTTTTCCTCGCCCTGCATAGTCAATGAGAAAAATATTGCTATGTTAGTGTTCAAGATAGATAAGATGAATTATTTCGAAAGCAAAAATCTTAACGTGAATGATTATCAAGTAAAAGAGACTGTCCATTGAAAAACTACTGATAGTATGTTTGTTGGGGTAATATCGAAGAACTAAATTGCAAAGGAGCCGTTCTTGGGTTGTGATTCAACAAAGAAAACCCTATATCTTATGCAATATTTAAATTTTGGTTTTATGCAGTTTCATTCCCTTTCAATTCACTTCCAACATCCTGTCTCGGACTATGGATGTCGAATCAAGTTTGAATAAATGTTGCAACCTAAGTTTCTCAGACACGGGTGCGGGTGTCCGACACGGGTGCGGGTGTCCGACACGGGTGCGGATCTAGAGGTCGGATCCTTCGAGATGTAAATTCTAAGATTCGGGAATATGGATCCTAGTAAGGATACGAGTGCAGGGATCCGGCTAAAAATAATTCAAAAAAAATAAAAATATAAAAATATCTCTAAATTATGATAAGTTTTGTGGAATACTAATGTATAATTTGTAAAGTATGGATTTCTTTTTTATTCTCAAGTTAGATAAGTAAATGATTGATTTCCTAGATAAGATATGCTATTGTCTTTAAATTTACCCTATTTTTTGTCCTAATTTCGGGAATCATATTATATATCGTCTCGAATTTTTCCGTCCGTCGTGGTCAAAGTACCCAAAATTGTTTGACCAAATCCGATACGGATCTCATACCCACACCCATACTAGTGTCGTGTCGACACCAGTGCGGCACCTAAATTGCCGTGTCGGAGCAACTTAGGCTGCAACCAAGCCACCATTTTCACGTTACGAACTAACAGAATTGTTGCCTGATACCAGCTATTAGAATATGCTCAGTCAAATTTTCAAGAAGAGAAATGTGAGAGAATATTCCATATTTTTTTTATAAGACGTGCAAACTCAGAACAAATTCGAAGAGGATATTTGAGGGGCCTTTGGAAAGACTGCCCCAAATCATGTTGTTTGAACTTTGAACTAGATAACGAAAATGTTGTAACATGCATGAAGTAGTCGTCACAGATTTTATCTAAAAGCCAAGGAAAAAAAACAGTAAAGCTGTCATCACAGACTGACTTGCAACAATATTCAGGTATATATTGATAAGCGAGATAAACTGAAATTTTACAGTGCAAGAATAAAGTGTAACGAAGGTATGGGTACACAAGCATCAGATGTTTAGAGGAACTTATTTCTCAAAAAGCCAGAAATACATTCACAGATAGAGAGAATAGCTTCAAGATATAGAGGTTAGATATAATGACATACCATAACAATTGGGGCATTCAGTGAACTCGTAAACATCTTTGGCTCGTTTTCTGTTTAGAGCTTTCCATTTTCCTGTACCACCACACATATCACCTATATACGGAAAAAAAATGAACATCTTAAAGTAGAATAGCACCAAAATAATATATGTATAGTCAGCGTTGTTAAAGGCTCGTTTAAGGTGAGCTTAAGCCCGGAATCTCAGTTAAAGCCAGGCTGAGTGCTTCACGTTGCTTAAGTGGCGCTTTAGTATAGGCGAAAGGTGCTAAGGCATGCACTTAAACTCTTTCTTTAAGAAGGCAATACTAGAACAATAAATAAAGCTGTTAACCGATAAATTAATTGTTAAAAAACGTTATGAATGCATTTTTGGTGATCAAGAATAAGCAATTAAAACTTAGTAAAAGAAAACTAGCTCCGGAAATATTTAAAATTATAACTTTTAGTATAAATCTGAAATTTAAAATCATTTTAAAACATAACTGACAAGATTTTACTTCATATATTTCCTTAGTACAGTCATTTCAATTCATTTTGTCAAATAGCTATCTTTAATATGTGATGAAGTAGACAAGACGTAAAACAATCTAGACGTACATATTATAGCGCCACTACCCCCACAGTTCCGACAGGAAGCTCTCTCATTTCCATCTAAGGCAATTGCTTTCTGGCCAGAAGCGCTTATCAGAGCTCCAGTTGAGCATAGGCAAGTAAGACACCATCTCCGTGAGATTGACGTCCGAGATCCCTGTTTTGACAAGCAACAGATCTTGAATCAACAGTATAATGTGATTGTAGCATCATTCCTAACATGCAGTCCCCCATTTGAGACAAAATAGCAGTTACAGACAAAATAGCAGTTACAGCTTGTTTGGGTGGTTGTTACCTATGTATTATATTGTTACTTTAAATATAATGTTTATTTTGATTGTTATTTAAATTTTATTGTATCGTATTTGTTAAATCCGTTGTTATGTAACGATGAAAAGTATCACTTTATGTAACGATCGATTTGGTGTGGTCGCGTCGTTACCTTATTTTCTTCTTCCATCTAATCTTATTTTATCCTTTATCCTAACTTTTTATACAATAATTCTACCATGTATCTACTTTTTCTTTGTACTATTGTAAATTTATTCTTCATACTGGTGGTTGACATCATGAAACGACGGCAAACGATACAATCTTTCCAAATGTGTATTCATCAAAACAATACAATATAATACTATAATATAATACGATATGATACATTCTGAAACGATATGTAACAACCATCCAAACAAGTTGTTAGTGCGTCCTATAATATATGATACTATTACTATTTGGAGAGTCAAACAACGTCTTTTTTTCACTATAATATTCTAAAACATTTTAAATATTTCAATTAGAAGTTTTGTTCTAAAGTATATTTCTAAACTGCTTCTGAATATACAATTTCTGTTTTCTGAGAAGGGAGACATCAACGGCCCAAATCGACTCGAAGATTAGAGAGGTTGACCCAAGTACTTCAAACCACATCATTCATCTTGGACAGGTGCAGCTGTCCAAAGTAAACAAGAGAAGTTGTGGTCTAAGGAGGTTGTCACGAGTACATAAACCCAGGCAAAGATGAGAAAGTGTAACGAAATCAGGAGTATGATAAAAGAGTTCCTAATGGATAAAAGTAATCTCAAATATGAATCCCCTCAAAAGCGGGTCTAGTTTGCAGATCCAAATTTTTTATGATTCAATATTTTGTCCTTTCCATTCACTCGGATTTTTCCATTTCATTGGTTTTGTCCGGATTCTCTCCACACCAAGAGCCAATTGCTCGACGCAGAAAATTTTTATTGAGACGTGGTTCAACTAATTAATTTCCGGAGAAGAAAGGGATTATTTAGCATATTGAACAAAATTTATGCAGCTAGAACTGGTACTTCTATACTAACCTAAAGCACTGGCAGAAGAGGTTTGGTATCTTTAAATCTGCATTCATGGGCTAGTAACAATCATAACATGGGTGCATTGCATAGGCCTCATGACAAGACATATAGAAACCCGAAGAAACTAAAGTTGAATGAGCAATGCCACCTTACAAACCACACTCAAAAATGCCAGTTTGAATACCAGCCATCCGTTTACTCACAAGCTCTCCAGTCAGTATCGCCTTGAAAGTCCCTTATTATGGATCTTATAACTGACTTCTCCTACGTTGATTTCACCTTCACATATTTGTCACTAATGTGAACCAACTACAGCTGGAAGCACTTTCAATCTGGTTCACTCTGGAGCAGCTGGCAGCTCGAAACATAACTATTATTGAACAAGACTAGACTGCCATTTAGCTAGAGACGTAAAGCCCAACAATATGATAATAGGCTAGATTCTTCTAAAGGTTACTCCTCATGAGGAAGAGCATATTATATTCCCAGGTTCAAGATTCTCCAGTTGAAAGAAGTGAATGGTTATAATCTCTACTAAAGAAGTTAATGTTGGTAGTAAGTTCATGAGGTGATTGTTGGGCTAAAGGAAGCAGGCCTTCTTCATCACGAGTTTCGCGTCGACAACTTAAGCAAGACAGTCCAACACTCTACATCGGGCTTAGCAATAGACAAGAAGAAAATTAAGATTTACATCATTTACGCCATTGTATTACTACTGAGAACTAGCTCCATTTGGTTGTTGGCCTAAGGCGGAGCGAGGATTTGAAGCTTATGTATTCTGAATTCTTAGTTCTTTTAAGCTACAGGGTTCTAAATTAATTGTTTGTGTATAATTCAATGGATTTCTTAAGACAAATATAGGGTTTGGACCAAATTTACTAGGTTTAGCCGAACCCGCAACTACTTCCACTCTGGTTAAAATATCAAATGTCCTTGTAAGAATCAACTCCTCCTTAAGTCCTCATTCAAATGCTTGATAAATGTTCACGAATATCAAGCTTATCAACAAACCAAATTCTAAGCTAGAGCCAGCAACTTATAGGGAAATTGATGTATCCGAGATATAATTGATTATTAAAGTCCTCAGAATTTCAGCCATAACTGATTATATAATTGAATAATACTGACAAGCAATCTATTTTCAAAGCATGTATAACATACAAATTCCCATTTTCAGGTCTTCCCACTAATGGAGGAATAAGAAATAAAATTTGCACCCAAGGAAAAAGGCTGAATTTCCAGAAATCACCAATAATTCATTAAATTCAAAATATTAGCATCCCATCAAGAAGCTGTTGTAAATTACAAACCTTTTCAACCACAGGTTCTTGTGGATTATCAGAAGAAGATGAAGCACAACTCTCATTCTCTGAGCTGCAGCTCACATGAAACCCAACCCTCTTCTTCAAATTGGCTGCCAATTCCAGAAAAACATTATTCCCAAGTCCCAACATATATTTCAGGCCAAAAATCTAAAAGGGTATTCAAAAGTACTACGCTAACTTTCAACAAGAAAAGAATGACATTATCACATTAACCAGTCCCAAAAAGAAACAAACAAAAAAAAATATATATATATATATATCCCAATTTCATTTCAACAGTGTATCAACTTAAACTGCTTAGTACCTGGAGTTCCACACTATAAATTCAAAAGGGTCTTGAAAAAAATATAAAATTTCAACCAAAATGACCTTAAACCAAGACACAACATATAGAAACTAAAACCCCACATTGAGATTTCATCTGTATTATGGTCATGAAAACTACAAATTTTAAACAAAACATCCCAAGAAAAGTAAAACAAAAAAAATGACCTTTAACTAATTCACACTAAAAATCTAACTGTGCGTCAACTTACAGTGATATAAAGAAGAAGATTTGGAGTTTAAATAGGAGCAGTGGAGAGCTGAGGGAGTGGGAAATGAGAGGTGGGAAGCCATCTCTCTTTGTTCTTTCTTTCTATCTCTCAACTTCTACATATATACTCTTTGAGTAATTAAGATTTTTGGGATGTTATTTGAAATTTTAAAGCTAAAAAAATAGTATCAAGATGGGTAAATATTGGGTTTTGTTGGTTTTTAATTTTTATGAATGAAAGAGAGGGATGTTCCCACATGGATTCTTATCCTCTAATTTTTTATGAGTATTTAAGTTATTTTTAATTCCTTTTGGCACCCCTAAAGTTTAGATAGATGACTGATTTCTCCCCAAAACTCTCAAACTTTCTCAAGCTAAGTTACTAACTCTCTATTCTCTAATATTTACTAGTAGTAATAACTTGTTTATGAACTTTACCATAGGATGCATGTCAATTTGTATTGCTGACTCCTATATTTCCTTAATAACCATAACAAAAAAATATCTCTCCCAAATATTAAATAATTGTCGTTCTTTATTGTTAATAGCTGATTATATTCTCAAATGATTAATTTACGTGTATGTTTCATACACTTGAAAGAAAGAATAAATGTTACATTTCTGTCAGTTCTCTCAATATACTTTTTAATTTAGTTTAGTCTCATAAGTCATAACTGTGTAATTGTCTTTAGTATTAGAAAAAATATTAATGAATTGGGTAGAAAACGTTTTAGGCATTTATAATATGTTTGGTTGGCCAATATTACCTTTTAAGTTACCTTAAAATTTTAATGATAATGAAAGTTGTAGACTTGTAGCACAATGATATTGTTACTTTCTTTGTTATCGCTGCTATATTTCAGAGAATAAAATTATGGATTAGGAGCGATTAAGCGAATAAAATTTGTTTACTTAAGGCTGTTTACTTCAGCATACTTTTAGTGTAAGTTAATACCCTAAAAACCCCTTAAACTAATATATTTTTGTTAGTTTCCTACTTAAACTATTCGGTGTCCCCAAAATCCTCCTGAACTATACTGCCCTTTATATTAAAACTCCCTTCGTTGCTGACCTAGCATAACGTGTGTAATACTCGCTTAGGAGCGCATGACAACTGGGGAAAAAACATCAAAATACCCCACCTGACAGAAAATAATGGCTAATTAGCATAACCCTCTTTCAAATTTATTTTTTTAATAAATATTCTCCTTATTTCAATTATATCCATTTTTCTTCCTCATTTTTCACCATTCTTCCTTATTTTTCACTTTTCTTCTTTATTTTTCACCTTCTTCATTTTTTTTAAACTTTTTTCAGTTCTCCGTATGGGTTTCTTCTGGAAAAATTTATCCCTCTCTTGAAGAGTATCAATTTAAATCTTCTTATTAAACTCAACACCTTGTAGAGAATAAAGTTGAATCTCTTGAACTTTCTTTATGTAATCTAAAATTAGAGAATGTAATTGTTGGCCAATTAATGTTTTATTTGCGAAATTTTATTTTGTGTAATTTTTTTATGTAATATAAGATGACTTTTAAGAATGCAACATTATATGCCTTTATATTATATTTTTATTGCGCTACAAAGTGAATATAAATAAGGACTTATCAATTGGAGTCTAGCATAAAGTACAATTACAATTAAACCTAAAATTAACACATATATTATTTTGGCCAAAACTCCTAGAATTAATCAATCATTCGAGAGTAATACATCATGAGTAAACTATATAAAAAACTTTGTACAAACCAGTTAATACAGTTAGACATTTAGACCGAGTTAAATAGTCACATGTAGTGCTACATGGCACGTTTTTAGACAATTAGGATCGCGTACTAGACGCACCTCTAAGAATGCAAGGAGAGAATTTTAATATGAAGGGCAATATAATTCAAGAGGTTTTCGAGGACACCGAATAATTTAAGCAAGGAACAGACAATTTAGGAAGATTTTAGGATATTAACTCTTTTAGTATTTATTATCTTCTCAATCTTATAATGTCACACAAACAAAAATAAGACATCAAGGAGATGTCAATATAACTGAAGATTTTCACATTTGGAGCTTAACCCTGCTAAATTGGATACGCCTTCACACCTCTTACAAAGGCCGATGACTACGTTAGGGAAATGATCCTGTTATCAATAAGATCCTTATCCTCTTTGAATTGAGCTACCTTTTTTTAAACTATCAGGAAACTACTATGCCACCAAACAAGAGAGTCAATAGGTTAAAATACAATACTTTTTCCAGCAATACGAGCACACGAAGGACAATTTTTTTGTAACTTTAGATATCAAAGACATCATAGCAAAAAGCTGCTATACAGGCCAGCTAACATAAACAGCTAGGACATAACTAAAATTCCCTGTGCATGACATTCAAAGGCATCTGACCTAGCCATCGATTTTACAATTGACAATGAAACAAAGAAAATGAGAAGATAAGATACATTGTCAGGTTTACAACAATTGGTCACAAATTTTTCAAGATACAGTGCGCCCATAGCATAGACAAGAAAGATAGAGATTCTTTCCCCACTTTTCCTGCAATGAAAACCAAAATTGACACAAATCAACTTTCTCGTAATAAAGTGAAGATGATAAAGTCTCATCGTATATTAGTCTGAGAACTGCAGACTTGCTAACAACAGAACCTAATCAAAGCAAAAGATTCATAGAGGCAATACAAACTGGTCCGAACTAAGACTAGGTGCTGGTGTTACACTTATATCAGGTCAGGTAGGGATAACAAAGTGACTGAGAGAACCTCTAGCTTTTGAGAACCTACCGTATAGTTCTGAATAACATAAGATCTCAAAAGGTCTACAATATATGATTAACTAGAATATTAAGATATACTACATATTATAATGAGGCATGGATGAAAGTTCAAGATATGTTTACAAAGAGTTCCTGGAAGTTCATAATAAGAATAACAAAAACCTTCATAATGGATAATATAATACTGGTAAAATCTGCTAAAATAGCATTAGCCAGCAAGTAATGCTCACTCTTTTCTTAGCTCATCAACAATTTAGGCAAAGCAGAGGAGAAAACAGTTTCACAAAAGAATTACCTTGACATGTGTGCTGGGAAACTGAGATGTTCGCAGAGTTTCCTGAGTCTCATCACCAGGTCTTCGGCGAGGCACACTCAGGATAAGGGCAGCTTGGTCTGCCGTAGCAGCTGTTGCAGTAATACGATAACCATTATCCCACCGCTTGTGAATGCCTTCACTGGGATAAAGAAAATCGAGCTCTACCACCTATTAAACATAAACAATCTAAATGTTACTAAAGCTAGCACTAATTTGGGAGATAGGACGTCTTACCAGATGATCAAAGTTCTCTACAACAAATGGTACTATAAGAGAAACTAAGTCATGCAATGATCCATTGACATTCAAATCAAGCGAGTATGACAACCACCATTGCATTTAACAGCTTACTTTGACCTTATTCGAGGTAACCGGGAAAAGAAAAGAAAAGGTTATGTATCTTCAAAAGTGGCTCTTTAGATTCTAGAGTCAACTCCCGAGAGTAACTTGGATTAGCTGTTGTTAGGTTTATACTCTTTCAATGCCAAATCGAGGTCATCTTCAGATTAAAAATTATGGTCGCTTTGCCAGTGGTGCACCACCTTATCATTCCTCTTTTCATGTGAATAATATTTCACTTGTCAAAATAATTATTCGTAACAGAAATATACTCGAATCACTTTTAAATATCTTCTCCTTATTATGGATAAGATAAATAGAAACCAAAAAAAATTACTTCTAACCATATCTAAATGATAGTGAAACTAACCATAGTATGACACCAATTATGACACCCAACTTCAGATGAGGACTATCGCTCTGTGTAAACTGTGTATTAACTCAGTATGACCTATTTATACATGCCAAGTGCCATGTTTAAGTTCAATTCCGGCAGCCACATTTGACAGAATATAGCAATGAGAACCTCACAAGTTCATACTTGATATCAAGATTACCTAATATATCAATGAATATGTATGCTGCCTAACTCTCTGTATGTCTTCTAAAAAAAACAATTAGTTTTTAGTTTTTAGTTTTTAACAAACCAGCAATTTTATTGCTATTGTGGGAAAAGCACAACAAACAATTAGTTTATAGGATAAAATTTAAGTTAAATTGTCATATATGTCAAGGAATGAAACATTTCTATTACTTGATCTCCATGCAAACACTTTGTTTACGATACATAACCAGGCATTAGCTTAATCCAACAAAACTGCAAGGTCCAACGTAAACGAACTATATATTTTTCGAAATATTTAGAGGAATGAGTGAGGACATTAAACAAAACTACTTCATTTCCTTCGAGAAATTACAACTTCAATGAGACTACCATTTTAGCTCCTCCAGCAATAAATTATAATTTTATTAACATCAAAAAACCTGACTGGAAGATTTGCACTTCTCCTTTCAAGTGTCTGTCTTCGTGGGAAATTTATTCAACAACTTTTCAAGGCTATAACAGCACGGAAATATTGAAAAAAGATGACATGGGATAGAAGGGATCAAGATAACATCACGAAACCATATTAGATAAAAAAAAAATTTGGTGTGTGTGTGTGTGTGAGAGAGAGAGAGAGAAGAGAGGGATGAACAACCTGGTCACTGAAGCCTGAATTGCGTGACATAACAACAGCCCACCTAGAGCCAGCAGTTGCCATGGAGGTCACGTGGAACCCTTCTTTCCATTTCTTGCTTATCCACTTAAAGGGAAACGACTCGCTCACTTTATAAGACTGTTGAGTGAACTGTGTGCCTGCAGAAAATGTCAAAATTGTGATATACAAAAGATAAAAGAAAGTCCAAAACCTAGAGCTGCAACCTAAAAAGCTCAACGCTGGCATAACAGTCTGCATTTGCCTTTGCATAGGAAGAAATACTCTCCACAACAATTAGATGAAATAATGCAACTTAGTGATATAGCTTCTACATATCACCAACTAAAACCTCCAGATTCAGGCAATAAACTCGTGTATCTCAATTGAACTACTTTAGTTGGTGTAACAACCTGAGAGAGGAAGCAAAAACACCCTATGATTGTTATCTTGCAATGTTTTGACTTGAATAAAAAGTTCAAACTGGCAAGAGAAAAAGGCTAAATTT